CGGTCAAAGTCAACAAATAGGTGTGTGAAAAAGAAAATTAGAATAAGGCAAAGAAGGTTGTAGTGTAGCAAATGTACGTAAACCGTATGTCACGTAGAAGGGTCATGTACGGAGGAGTATGTAAAAGGAAGTATGCCTGTGTTTCATCCCCAAGCTGTAAAAATAGACTGCAGGAGAACAAGCCTCATAAATGCAGGGACCGCTTACTGAAGAGGGTTTTTGTAAGACAAATCCTACTCACATAAGCTCAGCTTTTGTTTGATTTTTCTTTTTTTGCTTTTGGTTACAGGCTTCAATTCTTTGATTTTGGTTTTTTTTTTCCTTTCATTCACAAATTCAGGTTTGTTTTAATTTACTTTTCTTTGTAGTGCCATATTGGTTTATTTCTCTCTTTACTGCTATCTGCAGTTCTTGCTTCCAACTCCTGACTAGCATCCTTCTTCCCCTCCGGTATCCCGTCCCCAAACCCTGCCTCAAGAGCCGCGTCGGAGCATCCACCACCTCCAACCACTGTCACCAATTATCATCCTGAACTCTTAACCAGCAACTTCATTCCTCCTCACTATCCTGGTCTCAATCGCGCCCTCTGAGCCGTATCTGGGCAACTACCAACCAACACCCCAAACCACGTCTACCCCTCCCATCTATCATCCCCTGGCCACTCGGCCCAGCCACCAGACAGGCAGCGCTACCCAGCGCATCTGGTAAAGTGCCAAGCTGTTTCAGCGAGCGGCGTCACGAAATAATGTTGACAGAGATGTTAGAGCGCTCTCCAAACACCATCGACCATCAGTTTAGTCGAGTTTTTGTAACTGCCCAAGAATTAGACGATCGATCAAAGCCAATCAGAGACTGTTCAAGTTACAGAAGCTTCTCAAATGCGCAACATCTTTGAAACTAGTAGGATCATAATGATGAAACTTTTGCTGATTTTCTATTCATATACATTGCTCAATGCAAATGCAAAGCATTAAATTTAAGGACCAGAAACAAGCAGGTGAAGATTCCGAAGCCTAATGGGAAGTTTGTCAACGGTGTTTTTCTAACTCCGAGATTATTGCCCAAAGTCAAATCGCTGTTGCGACCAGAATTGTTACCTCCAGAAGCTTTTGCAATCCATTTCATAAATTTTAACTGTTTCTATTATATTTTCAAAAAACTACAACAAAATAATCACTTTTTCGCATCCATATTCTCCAGACGTGGGCTTGATCGTTTTTTATGCAGATCAGTAACAAACTGTACACCTGCTTTTCGTGCTGCTCGACCGGCAACAGAACGTGGTCCGAGATCCCAGAGCTGTAGCGCAGCTAGAGATGTATGGCCTGTAGCGTACAGCGCTTCATGTGCTATCAGTGAAGCTTCATCACCCCATCTGGAATATTTTTTTGGCTCACACTGATTGCAAAATAAGAGAAAATGGAGAGGAAAAAATCCCCGAAAGAACACACAAGATTAAAAATTATCATCTTTTTGCATGGTCCCGGTCCTCCTTGCGATTAAAAAAAAACATGTAGCAGTTCGAAACTTTCACCCTCCAATTTCCTGGTTCACGTCCTCCTACAGACGGTGGCTCCAATGAATAAAAACAAATTATGATAACTGGTAAGCGGTAAAAGTACCAAAAAAGTACCGAAAAACGGCGCGGCATTTTTCCTCCAAAAAGTAAAACAAAAAAACGGGCGCCAGAATCATTAAGATCTGTTCAACGGCCGTGATGCACCTTCAATTATCAAGGAAATTAAGACGAATAAAATAAAATATTTTTATGTTAAAAGAGGAATCAATAAAATGTTGAAAATATTTTTAATGGTAAGAATTGCTTCG